GACCGCATGGACAGTTTCCACGAGCTTGTCATTCATATAGTCCGTTTTATTGCAGTTTTCTAGGTGCTGAAAACGATTTTGTAGCTCAGGCTATAAGTTTTTGGGCACAAGGGGGACGGAACGTTGACTTCATTACACGTGACTTCTTCAACTTAACGTTTAAGTTCAGTGAGCCTCTCACCATTCAGTGAACGCTGCCAGTTTTACCCTCGCGATTACTCATAACTGAATAGCTGCCTTCCAGTCGTCATAATGAAGTCAATCTAATTTTCTGTCAATATGGGCCGTATGGCCTCGACCAAGTCCACTTTCTGTGATCCACTTCTGGTAGGAAGAGTTTATCATAAAGTGTCCCTCTTTCTCCATGAAGTGGGCCAGTTGCTGGCCCCTTGGGTTGGCTATTTAAATTTCCTGAGTTGCGTTGAATTCTCCCATTAACACCGTATGGTAAGTTTTGGAGGAAGGCATGGCTCTAGAGATATCTTTATACATATCCTTCACCTCCTGATTGGAATGTGTCGAGGTTAGGGCAAAAGCCTTTATGACCTTCAATAAATTTCGTTTGGTGATTTTGATTATAAAGTACGCATCCCTCGTCGACACACTCCCAACATATACAACGTTGTTAACGAGGGACTTGTAGATGGTAAATTTGACACCTCCTTGGGACAGATGGTCGCCCTCCGGGCGGCATAATTACCACGTTCTCCCGCTCTCTTCAAACCTCAGATAATCCTATAATATCCCAGTACAACTTGTCTATCTCTTTTTCTAGCTCCAGGATCTTATCGTTGGTTCTTAGTATGCATGCGTTATATGCTGCTATGTTGAATCGTTTTAGGTAATAACAACCGAACCTTCACCGGACATTCTTAGCACCGCTACCATAGCCATGAAAGGTTGTCTCTTTGTAACTTTTGCCATATATTGCCATATATATTAATAAAGATACAATATGATACGCGCAGCGACAGGCGCCGGCCGCGCCTCACGGGGCTCCTCGCTGCGCTGCCCGCGCTGTGGACTCGAGCGCTGTGCAATGCCTCCATGTTCGGCCGTTTACGCCACTTGTTTCATTTGTGGTCACTTCGCTCGGGTATGTAAGCAGAATTTAAATATTAATAAGGCCGGTGTAAACCGTGTATATGACATTGAGCAAAATCAAGATGTTACGCGTAATATTGATTGTGAATCGTTTTTTATATCAACCATAAATGGTCAAGAAAGTTCTTCAGATGGCTGGTTCGAAACATTATATTTTGAGAAGGGTATCGAAAACTTTAAATTGGACACGGGGGCGGATATAAATGTTTTATCTTTTGAAAGGTTTTTGCAACTGGGTTTTGATTCCAATATAATAAAAAATGATTGTATTAAATTAGAATTTTTTTTTCTTCTTGTCAAAGAGGGGGAAGGTAGAGGGTGCGGGGGTGGTGTGGGGGGGGTTATGGGGTGGAAGTGTGAAAGGGGGTTTGTTTGGGGGGGGGGGGGGGGGTTGGGTGGTTTGTTTGAAAAAAGAGGAGGGGAAGGAAACAAATATTTAGGGGGGAGGGGGGGGGGGGGCCGGGGGGGGGGTTTGCTGTATTAAAGGGGAAAATAGTTCTTTTCCCGGGGTGGGGTGGAGGTGAGGAATTCTTGGTAGGGGGGAGACGTATAGTGGTAATATAATACCAGTAAGAGGCGTTTGCTATTTACAATGTTTTTATAAAAATGTTTGTTATAATTTAAAGTTTGCGATTGCTGATTTACATTGTCAAAGCGTGCTGGGACGATAGTCGTGTGAGAAGTTAGGGTTAGTCAAACGAGTTCATGAAATTACAATATCAGACTATGATGACTTATTTAGTGGTATTGAGTGTCTTCCAGGAAAGTATCATATTGTTTTAGACGAATCTGTACCTTTAATAAAAAAACCTGTTAATTTAATTAAAAAAATGCAAAATAGCACTTGAAGAGGTTACTTACTTGGGACATATTTTTGATAAAAACGGTATGAGGCCCGACCCTAATAAAGTAAAAGCCATTTTTGAGATGCCTCAACCCTCAGACAGAAAAAAGTTTAGAAAGATTTTTGGGAGCCGTTAATTATTTATCGAAATTTATTCCGTGTTATTCTGATCGCGCTCTTCCCCTGACGAATTTATTAAAAAAAGATAGTAGTTGGCGATGGGAAATCAGTGAGCAGACAGCATTCGAAAAATTAAAAGAATGTGTTTGCACAGCGCCAGTGTTGGCGTTGTACGACGTAGCTCAGCCTGTCTTGTTATCGGTAGACGCGTCTCGCGATGCACTCGGTGCGGTACTACTGCAGTGGTGTGTGGAAAAGGAATTGTTAGCAATTGTGTTCGCATGTGAACGATTTCACCAATATATTTTTGCAAAAAATAACGTTGTCGTAGAAACAGATCATAAACCTTTGTAAAGTATCTTTAAAATGCCATTAACGTCCGTCCCAGCCCGCTCACAATGTATGATGCTCAGAATACAAGGCTATTACTTAGTCGTTAAGTATAAACCAGGAAAATATATGTATATTTCAGATGCATTGTCTCGAGCGCCGCTTCCCGACTTATTATTAGATAACAAATTAGTTAAAAGAATTTTGTATCAAGTAAAATTAATTGTAAACAGTATTCCAATTTCAAATAGCAAGTTAACACTGATAAAAAATGAAACGAAAAAAGATTTTGATTTATGTACCTTACTAAATTATATTAAATTAGGATGGCCTAATGATAAGTATAACGTAATAGAAAATCTTAAAAAATATTGGTCTTTAAAAAACGAGTTATATGTGGTAGACGACGTCATATTTAGAGATAATGTTGTTTTAGTTCCTCGTTCCCTGAGAACAGATATGTTGAAAATTGTGCACGAAGGGCACTAAAGTATAGATCGGTGCAAGCGACGCGCAAGACTAGTTATATTTTGGCCAGGCATGTCACGTGACATAGAAATGTATGTTCGGTGTGCAGGGAGAGTTCAAACGCACAAGCTAAAGAACCCATGATTCCGGCGGAAATTTCTAATTTGCCCTAGTTTAAGTTATTAGTGGATTATTACTCTAGTTATGTTGAGGTAAAAAAATTAGAAAATATTACATCACAAGTGGTTATACGCGGTGTGAAGGAAATATTTTCACGACACGGTATACCTGAAATACTTATAAGTGATAATGGCACTCAATTTACTAGTCGCGAGTTCAAGCAGTTTAGTAGAGATTGGGGCTTCACTCACATTACATCCTCACCAAAATATCCACAAGCTAACCGAAAAAGTGACCACGCGGTGCAAACCGTTAAGTCTTTGTTAATTAAAGCTCTTAAGGGGAATAGTGACTTTAAACTTGCTTTATTGAATTACAGAAATACTCTAAGACATGGTTTGGACTCTCCCGCGCAATTATTAACGGGTCGCAGTCGTTGTAAATTACCAGTTTGTGCAGATTTACTAAAACCACAAGTTGTAGACCCATCTACGTTTAAAACAATGCTGCAAAAACAGCAGCAGTCAAAAATGTACTATGATAAACATTGTAAACCGTTGCCTAAACTTAACATTGATGACGAAGTAATATGTATAGATGGTAAGAAAAGAACTCCCGCTACTGTAATAGGTGAAGGTGATACTCCTCGTTCATATGTAATAAATAATAAGCTAGGAAGACCAATCCGACGCAATAGGCGTCATTTAATTAAGTCTTAATTAATTCAAGATTTGAAAAGTATAAAAAAAGATATTTTCATCACTGGAAATGGAGGGGGTGGCAATTTTGTGAATTGCAAAAAATCACAACAACGCCCAGATAAGATAAATCAGCGTAACCAGAACTCTAGCTCAAGTGAAAATAGAATTGCTCAAAATGTACTCAATGATAATATTAATGAGGCATCCACACCAAGGCCACACCCTCTCACACGTAGTAAGACTCAAGATAAAAATTTTATTAATTAATTTGAAGGTATAAATATAATAAATTTTAAGTTGGAGTTATAAGAAATTTCGTTTGTTTCAGTTATTTTTTTATATAAGGGGAATGGCTGATATTGAATCTTTATTAATAAGGGGAGATGTGGGTATTTGTATTATTGTATACGTAGGTAGTTATGAGAGGAATAAATCAGTTGTTGTCTCGCTAACGAACGTGTATTATTGTGAACACAACAGTTAGCAGGCTTGGCGAATGGTTTTGCAACCGCAGTTTTTTATTGTACTATTGTTGACATCAGAAAGATGCTGCCGCCAATCTTCTGCCTTAGTTTATCTCTGCCGCTTTTTACGACACTTATGAAAAGATATGGCGTACTGCATGTTCTTGAACCGCCACTACACCACAAAAATAAATAAATAAAACTGTAAAGGGGTATTATGTTCTCATTTCTTGTGAAACCCGTAAGGTCAGGAATAATTTGGCAGAAATATACCGGGTTGAATATAAATAGATTTTATAGTAACCTTTTCAATTACACGTTTTACTTACACCGATAGTGTGATATTCCGCAATTTTCGCCTTCGGTTTTGGTGTAATTTATAAGTATTATACGAATAGAATTAATTAAATTCTTTAATTTTTCTTATTCAAAGACTAAACGCATTTACAGTATCTATTACTAGCGTATGTAGTTTGTTTATATAATGAGAAAAAAGGAAACCACCTAGTACAAGAAAAAAAGTGAGAATAGTACAGGTAGCTCAATATATACTTCAATTGTGCCATATTGCACGCACGCAAGTGCAAAAAGTTATATATATATATATATATATATATATATATATATATATATATATATATATATATATATATATATATATATATATATATATAAACACCACGTGTTATAATTATATTACTTTATTTAAATATAAGATAACACTACTAAGAGGTATACACAAATATATAATATGTCTAGATCAATTTTAAAACACTTTTACAACCTCGTTATATAACGTTCGATCGAACAATTAAATATCATAAAAATGGCATACAAAACAATTTTTAACTACATAGGGATCACTTTATTTCTTGTTTCCAATTGTAACTGAAATCCGTCCGAATCTCGTAACATGATGTCACACTTGACAGTTAACGGTGTCTGCAAATCAGCTTCACAAGGCATCGCCTTTGGAAGGAACTTGTAGTTTCTCAGCAATGTAGCTAGCACCGTCTTCATCGACATCATCGCGTACTGATAGCCTGAAGAGGTTGAGAAATACATATTATTCTTTATTGTATGAAATTTTGTATGAATGTAAAATTAAACATATTGCGTTAATACGTTAAATATGCCTATCGGGACAGCGTGGCAGAATCCAACTTTAATTTAACAACCTCTCCGAATACTCTCAATAGGCCATTCGGGAGAATATTCAGATTTCAGGTATTTTATCGGCGAAACCGATTACCACGAATGTTGTTAATACTGAACTCGGCTTCCTTTTCACATTCATGTTTTGGTAGGATTTTTATTTTTAAGTTCAGTCATCTGGGGTCATAAAAAAAACCTTAAAAAAGAAAAAAATTGGTTAACTTACCAAGACAGTTTCTTGGACCATTGCTGAAGGGCATGAAAGAATATTGGTGGTGTTTATGGCCATTCAGGAAACGATTGGGCTCGAACTTTTCGGCATCTAGACCCCAATACTTGGGATTACGGTGCATCGACCATATACTTACGAGGACCCCAGTATTTACAGGCAATGTGACGCCGGACGCTATACAAAATATACTCGTTAAAATTTACTGTATACACCTTAATTGTTATAAGCACCTAAAACTCTTACATAAAAAAGACATTAACATCGTATCAATACTACTTTTGCGAATAGTTCTTCTTTTTACATCCAATTTCTTCTTCGGACGTTCATTTGCTATAATTTATCATTATCCATACAAGCTGTGAGTCATACCGGGTAAGCAAAAATTGGTTGCAGATGTTTATGAGTTTGCCGCTTTTATAGAACTAAGAGTGACAAACGAGGTCCAACTGATAGTAATTAAATTCTGCAACTCATAACTTACGAGTAATCAAATTGTTCGGCGGATTGGTGGTATATTTTAAATATGGTGTAATATGCCACATGATTACCCCGTCACTAGAATCTTTAAGAAAATTTTAGTGGTCCTATGATACATATTTCACTACAGCCGTTCACAATTCAAGGAATACCACAAAGCACGGTACCGAGCCACCTGCATCCGTCTACTTCCTGCACTGAGGCTGCCACTCCAGAAACCTTCTGCCCCATGGGTTGTCGGCTCTTTGAGCTACAAGCTTGACTTCATCACTCAGAGAAACCCTGAGCATAGTCTTCTCGATAGTTCGCTGAGTGACCTTAAGCTCCCTCATATGGCTAACAGTGAAGGACCACGTCTCAGATCCATAAGTTATCACTGACAACACGCACTGGTTATAAAATTTTGTTTTCAGGTTTTGAAGTATACCTGAAGAGAAGATGTGTCATAAGATGCCGACCGCTGCCCAACCAAATTAAATCCGTTGATGGACTTTTCGGTCAAAGTTGAACTTACCTAGTCGATCTATTTGTCCCAGGTAAACATACCGGTGAGATTCATTATGAATGGTCTTGCACGTAGATTCGACGACTTCTAATTTCCCTGACAAGTCGGTTTCCAAAATTTTTTTGTACCATAGACCAATACATATCCTTTGGCAAATTGTACATAAGACTCAAGAGAACAATCCGTCACCTTGCCTTGCGTATGTGGACCATGAAAAAACCTTTAATTTCGTCGAAATTTGGGCGGTGCTACAGTCCCTTCGGCGGTGTCAAGGTAACAGTCGATATATCGAAGTACTGTGTCGAAGTGTTTACGAGCGCGAAGTGGCGAACACACTTTCGCCCACTATTTTTAAGAACATATATTTTCGTTTCCATTCATATAGACAAGTTAATTGATACTTACGAAGTGTTAAATCTTTATCAACTTTTCTGAAAATATGAGGTACTGGTGGATAAAGCCTCAACGTTTCCTTAATAACAGCTTCCAAGTATTTGAGTTTCGGAAGGTCATCTGCCAGAACGGGTCTGTCGCTATCCCCGAAGATTGCAAATAACCTAGGAAAATTTTGCTTTATTTACATTTTTAAAAAGTTTGCCGTTAAACATAAAAAAACATACTTAATATATGAGACACTTTAACTTTTTGCTCTCATCGCTTACTTTTACAACCACAGACCACCCAGCCTACGAAACATGAAACCATTACGATTCTCTAATTAAATTAATAATTAATTAATTAGTCTGTCAAGGTTGGGAGAAAGAAAAGTTGGAAGACGGCGCGAAAGACGTAACTTAGAGATGTGTCACATCCATATATCGTACGCGTAAAGTGGGAGATTGAAAACGTAACGTAATAAAACAAATGAATGATGCGTAAAATACACTGTAATATACATGTAAAGTTCTTTAAAATATATGCATGTATTTTACATGTCACTTACAACGCTAATCGCTTCCCATAAATCCGTTAAGAGCGGAATGTGCGTAAGAAATACACCAACATAATACATACTCTAGAAAACCATGACTTTGCTAAGGCCTCGGCCGCGACAATCAGGTGAAAATATCTACATTAGGTAAAATTAACGTAATATAAATATGTAAACGAAAATTACCTTTATAATTTATTAATTAATTAGGGTTTGTAAAACTGTAATTTCGATTTAAAATTATAATTACAAATAGATTAATAAACAAATATAATAGAACTGACTGACTGTTCGTCTATACAAAAAATAATAACACAATAAATAATCGATAAACTTGCATCGATACTTTTTTGGGCATCTCTACTTACACGTGCCGCCTGTAGCCCCTCTGATTGATAGACAGAGAAGCTACTATAATACTGCGTGCTTGACAAAGACAGCCTCAGAACTACGACAGAACAAGTTGAACGCACACGTTTTTAGTATTTTAAGATTATTAAATGTTGCACTTACCGGTCAAACGTTATTTTATTTTTCTTGAAATTATAATTCCTGCTATTACTACCACACCACTTTTCTGCGCAAGGAGGCATGTTTTACTATTTTTTATTATAAAAAATTATAGCGCTAAGGACGCAGTGCAGGTCTGTGGTCTGTGGTCTGGTCATTACTAAACAGGGTAGCATTCGTGTTCAACTATATAGGCTCTAGTTGAGCAGATGAAGTACAGAAATTTGTCGCCTTTCGTTACATGTCTCGTAGGCTGGGTGGTCTGTGTTTACAACCCATCACAAATCATACACACACAGCTTGGTTTTAGGTAACCTGCATCCATATCTTATTTTATTTTGCAGGTGGTCAATAATAGTTTCAGATGTTTAGTAAACTACATTGGTTGTTTTCTATAAGGTAGACTATGTGATTTTCACTATAATATTATTGGAAAATGAAAGAAATTAAAAAACTAAACCAACACATATTGATCATGAGATGAGACGATATGGGGTTCGCCTCAATTATGAAAGAGAGCGCTACCAGAATAACAGCGTTATAAATTCTTTACAACACATATGTATTAATATACTCAATCATAAAATTTGCATTGTGTGTCAATCAAGAAGCTCAATTTCGTTAAACAAAAACTGGATAAAAAGGTTATTTGTATTATTAAGGGGAAATTCTATTATAATTAAAATAAACAAATATATAATAAAATTTTACGTGTAAAAGTAATCCTGATAGATTTCTTTTTGGTTCCTCCCTTCTAAAAATTGGATTTCAATAAGTACTATGCGAATAAATAATGTTAAATATGATTTAACATTTTATGTTTTATGGATCTTTTTTTTATATATTAAATACAGTAGTTATCTTTATCGTTTTGAAGACTATTTCGTGCCCTAAATAAGGAGAAAATATTATTAATATTATCGAGTGCAATCATTTAATCACTATTATAGATTACGAAGTCAATAGTGCATGCATCCCGTGAGTGTATCTAGATTTTAGTGGACACCTAAAAAGCTGTGCTGCATGATTTAATAATCCAAATTCCATAATATTGTTGCTCTCATATCATCGAGCATTACGAAATAAATATTTGTCAACCAATAGCTTATACACAGGTTGACAAAAGAAAAAATAAAGGACTCCATCCATATGTAGATTTTTCCATAAAGTGTCTTAGGAATTGATTGATGATGGTAGCGGGACCGTTTTTTGTGGTTATAACGAAAATAATGAATGTACTTAAAAAACACTCACTCCTCATAAACTTTCTCCTGAATATCGGGAAAGCGTGAAAGCATGCACAATACAAACGAAGCCCCAACTGCTGAAGTGTCAGTGCCCGCTACTGCAAGGACCAATACTTCTTCCCTTAACTCCACGTCTGTGAGCCTACTAATTTCATAAGATGAGTCCATGAGTATCTCTAGAAACGTTTTTGGGCATTCTCTCATCGCACCTAAAATATTTTTAATATCACCGTATTATTATCACATTAATATTCAATACATCCTTATATCTAAGGAGCTGCCTGCATTGCTTGCGCTTGTCTTCTTGAAGTTTCCAATACATGACGCGTTTTGCCCCTCCATTTTCAGACATATGAAACACGTTCACGCCAGCTCAACTGCCGCTGCATCAGGAGCACCTTCATGCCGCAGATGTTAGCTCGGCATGGAACTTTCGTATTTGTTTGACATGTATGAACTAACGTACACCCATGATATTACGTGGACACTGAATACGTAATCTATCCAGATTTTATACGTACTTGCGATACAATTACCGAGAATCAGAAAAATATAAAAGGTTTGACAAAATAATCGCCCTGTAGACCACTATCTATCCAGTAGGTAACATTAGGTAATATGAACGGAAAAACTGGGATCTATTTCTCAATTTTCCTTTTATATCTCAATTTTCCGAAAGCAGTTAATGCAGCACTGATTCTCTCATTAATTTCAGATTCAAAATCTCATGTTGTAGCTTTCCAAGTACTAGAACTTCTCTACAGATTTCAGAACGCCTTTATTGAGCTAAATATGTAAAGGGTCAGAATGGGAGGCTCACTCGCTCAGAGATCACTTCGGCTTTTTTCACGCTAACTTTATGGCCAAATCTTCGGCATGACTTATCAAGACTAGTTATTAATCTTAATACAGAGTTTGGTAGTCCAAAAACACAAAACACGATAACAGAGTCATCTGCGTCCACAATTTCCGTTATTACGTCGCAAGTCACCTTTAACGCAGTATATTTGAGCTAAAAGGCAAGCGGAAACGAATACGTACGCCTTCTTGCAGGATACATAGGGCAGCCCTAATAACCACAACGAAATAGAGAGCAAATTACGTTGGCGCCATGATACAACCTTGAATAACATAACACATAAAAACGCAGCAATTCATTTCATCGTGATGAAACCTTAATATTCGTACATACTTTTCCGAACAACCCAATTTTAACAATATCGTCCATAACTCTCTACGAGGTATGCTATCAAACGCTTTCTCCAGATCAACAAATGCAGGAAACATAGCTGATGATCGCCCCTTTTTTCCTGCAGCGGACTTAACGCAAAAGATAGCTACATAAGTATCCCTTCTCGGACGAAAACAGAATTGAGTTTCTGGTAATAACGCTTCTGGAATAGGAATGAGTTGGTTGAGAAGCACTCTTAGCATAAACTTTCCATGTGTCTAAAGTAGCGACGCACCACGACAGTATTACAGTCAGATTCACCTTTTTTATATAAAGAGCAAATGTGCCATATCTTAAATACTCATTCATCATTATCATTACAGCCCTTCACAAGTCCACTGCTGAACGTAGGCCTCCCCCAAGTAACGCCACAAAGCACGGTCCTGAGCCACCTGCATCCATCGACTTCCTGCATGTCTTACCAGGTCGTCACTCCATCTAGTGGGGGTCGCCGTACACTACGCCTACCGGTACGAGGCTGCCACTCGAGAACCTTTCTTCCCCATCGGTTATCGGTTCTTCGAGCTATATGGCCGGCCCATTGCCACTTCAGCTTACTAATCCGTTGGGCTATGTCTGTCACTCTGGTTTTACTGCGGATATCATCATTTCTGAGTCTATCACGCAGAGAAACTCCGAGCATAGCCCTCTCCATAGCTCGCTGAGCTACGTTGACCGTCCTCATACGGCCAGCAGTGAAGGACCACGTCTCAGATCCGTAAGTCATCACTGGCAACACGCACTGGTTGTACACTTTAGTTTTCAGAGATTGAGGTACACCTGACGAGAAGATGTGTCGTAATTTCCCGAACGCTGCCCAGCCGAGTTGAATCCGTCGATTGACCTCTCGGTCGAAGTTGGACTTACCTAGTCGGACTATTTGTCCCAGGTAAACGTACTCGTCAACAACTTGCGGCAACAACTACCGGCATAGGTGTGACATGGACATTAAACATGATCTTTGTTTTGTCCATGTTCATCTTAAGACCTATCCGTTGGGAGACACTATTAAGGTCATTGAGCAAAGTGCTAAGGTCCTCCAGCGATTCTGCGATAAGGACTATTTCGTCGGCAAATCGAAGGTGAGTGATATGTACTCGCCATTGATGTTAATACCGTATCCTTCCCAGTTTCGGGGATATAAAGTCACCCTGTCTTACACCTCTCTGCAGTTGGATAGGTTTCGAACTCTGGTTCTGTACTCGGATAGCCATCGTAGCCTTAATGTACAAACACTTCAGCACTTCGATATACCGACAGTCAACTTGGCATCGCTGAAGAGACTGTAGCACAGCCGAAATTTCGACGGAATCAAAGGCTTTCTCATAGTCCACATACGCCAGGCAAAGTGGCAGATTGTACTCTTCGGTCTTCTGTATAATCTGCCGCAGGGTATGTATGTGGTCTATGGTATTGAAGCCTTTTCCGAAACCGGCTTGTTCGGGAGGCTGGAAGTCGTCGAGTCTGCGTGCGAGACGATTCGTAATGACTCCCGAAAACAGCACGTAGACGCGGCTCAGAAGGGAAATCGGTCTGTAGTTCTTCAAGAGAGCGTTGTCGCCTTTCTTAAAGAACAAGACAACCGCACTTCTGCTCCACGCCTCTGGAGTAGTGCCACCATGGAGGACGGAATTGAAGAGCTTCTGAAGGACTTCCAGTACCGGTGTTCCACCCGCTTTCAGAAGCTCCGCTGTAATTTCATCCTTGCCTGGGGCCCTGCCGTTTTTAAAGTGCTGGAGAGCCATTCTAATCTCGCTTAGACTGACGTCCGGGATATCATCGGAATAGTGTCGGATAAGACTTGCTCTTGGATCGTTACTCACACTTGCGTGTGGCTCCAACGATGATGTGTACAGCTGCCCATAGAACCTCTCAATCTCACTCAAAATCTCAGGTGCCCCGGAAACGATGCTGCCACATTCAGTCTTCAGCTTTGACAGTTGGCTCTTTCTGGCAGACAGATCTCTGGCAAAGACTTTGGAGCCCTGGTTCCGCTCGATCGCTTCTTTAATACGAGCAGTATTAAAGTTGCGTAAGTCTCGCCGCATGCATTTGGAGATCTGTCTGTTCAGTTGCCTGTATGCTGTCAAATCTGTTGACGATTGCAGCCTCATCTCCCGTCTAACAGCCATGAGATTAAGAGTGTGATCGGAGAGTTTTTGTGTTCTTCTGCGGTGGGTCTTGCAGAACTTAGCTCCGACCGCATGGACAGTTTCCACGAGCTTGTCATTCATATCGTCCACTGCATTGCAATCTTCTAGGCACTGAAAGCGATTTTGTAACTCCAACTGAAAGGTTTCAGGATTCTGGATTAGAGCACGAGGGGGACGGAGCGTTGACTTCATTAGACGAGCCCTCTCCAACTTAACGTTTAGATTCAGTGTACCTCTAACCATTCGGTGATCGCTGCCAGTTTTCACCCTTGCGATCACTGAGACATCACTGAACAGTTGGCGCCTGGTCGTCATAATGAAGTCAATCTCATTTTTTGTCGAACCGTCGGGGCTCGACCAGGTCCACTTCCTGTGGGGCCGCTTCTGGAAGAAAGAGTTCATCATAAAGATTCCCTCTTTCTCCATAAATTCAGCAAGCTGCTGGCCCCTACGTTTCCGTTGCCCTACTCCAAATTTCCCTAACTTCAGCTCACCGCCTTCTCTTGTGCCTAGTTTTGCGTTGAAGTCTCCCATCAACACCGTGTAGTGGGTTTTGGAGGAATGCATGGCTCTAGAAATATCCTCATACATTTCCTCCACCTCCTCATCGGGATGTGCCGAGGTTGGTGCGTAGACCTGTATGACCTTCAGCGAATACCGTTTGGTGATTCTGAGTATCAGGTACGCGACCCTCGTCGACACACTCCCAATCTTTATAACGTTGTTGACGAGAGACTTGTGGACGATAAATCCACACCTCCTTGGGACAGATGGTCGCCCTCCCGGTGATAAAATAAGTTGCCGGACTCGAGGATTACCGTGTCCTCCCCCTCTCTTCGGACCTCAGATAATCCAATAATATTCCAGCGCAACTTGTCTACCTCTTCTTCCAGCTCCAGTATCTTCTCGTCAGTCCTCAGGGTGCGTGCGTTATACGTTGCCAGGTCGAGTCGTCGTAGGTGGCAACCTAACCTCCACCGGAGATTCTTAGCACCCCCTTCCCCTCCGTTACCATGGTCGGTCATATCTTAAATACTGATTAAACTTATTTTTCGCACCAATTCCAGACAAAAAGTTTCCATATCGAAGTGTAAAGCTCTGCTCTCCTCCATCCCTCAACAATTTAACAGGAATACTGTCCACTCCAACCGCTTTATTATTTCATTTAGTTTGAACGGCATTGACAAACTCTTGCAACGTTGGTGGCTCTTCTTACTCGGGAACATGCGGAAGAGATAAGATGCTGCTGATAAATCCGGCATCGGCTAGTAGCTTTAGAAGCTTTAGAAGTTCCTTGAAGTTCTAAGCTTATCGTTTTAACACGTCCTCTTTCGCTGTTAAACGCTGATCCCCATTACGGTCACACTAGTTCTATGCCTAGACTCGACCAGTTTCCTTATTTCCGCATGAAAAATACCGAGCTACTTGATATCAGGGAGCCATTGCAAATATTTCTCCTTCCTCGACCACCAGATTCCTTTCATCTCCCTTAAAATTCTCCTGAGAGGAGATCCGCTCCTCGATCGCTTCCAAAAAACTATAACTTTGAGTCCGACTGTGATTTTTTTTTTGTAATAGATTCTTGCCAAAATAACATCTAACTTTTCATCATTCTCATCAAACCCATCCTCGTGAAAACGCTAATTCGGGCCCAAGCTTTGCGTTCTACAGCAACTATATGAGAAGAGAGTATATGAGAGAGACTGTTTCAACCAGCTTCAAGATCACCGGTATCCATATCGAGGTGCGGTACACGAAGAAGTGCGATATCGAGCCCTCTTCTTGGGAGTACCTTACTAAAGACCGGCAGAAATGGACGCGACTAGAAAACCAAAACGACAATACTATCGAAACCAAACGCGTAGCTTCTAGATCCTGCTAGATGCTATTTAATATACGAAAATGGGAGAAAAATTATGGCTTCCGAATGATGGTAGTACTGATATACCATCTCAATTATGCTATGAAACGTTACATACTCGTCGTGCACAGATGAGTAGGTACGAGTACGAGCACATAAATGCCTTGTTCGGGTGTTCTCAATACTAGGCCCGAGTATTCACCTGTTCTCCACTTGATGTTAGTTTTTTGGCTCGAGTAAAGGAATGCTCTTGTATATTCGTAACGGTGCTTACATACTCGTCATTATTTGCTTATTATATATATATATATATATATATATATATATATATATATATATATATATATATATACAGAATAATCAATTAAGATAATAATAATAAAAATACCTACCTGTGATGGATTGGGGGAAAGAATATACTATTTTATAGAACTTTATCAAGGAAAACCCATGATGGGTCCTAGAAAATAAAATCAGTTTTAAATAAATGTTAATGAAAATATCATCATCATCATTAAAGCTCTGCTAAACATAGGCCTTACCCTAAGAATGCCACAAAGTACGATCCTGAGTCATTTGCATCCATCGAAGTCTTATTAGGTCGTCACCCTAAGTACTGGACGACCGCAACACACCGCTCAAATAAATATTTGTGAGTCTATATATATATATATATATATTTTTTTTTTTTTTTAATAAGTAGATATAAAGTCGTGACAAGTACACACGTCATGCGTATTTAAACGAACTACGTTGAATGAATACAGACGAGTATGTAAACGCGTCGTACTCGCCCACGAACAAATTGGCGAGTTACTCGGCGAGTTGTTCGTGACGATAATGTAAATGTATCACTAGACGTATAATACTCAGACTGGTGACCGGCAGCCATTTCAATTGTATGAGACATTTAGTACTGCAATCGCTGTCCGCCTGGAAAGCAAAAAAAAATGTATCACAATTAAGGCAAATCTTCCTCAAATTTCAAACGGCACATGTGCTGATGAAGAAAAGTTAAAATTTTTCCCACAAAACCTGTTTTAATAAAGTAAAGACCTTTTGATCATTCTAACAATACAATATTTTTGTTTAAATTTTTTGAATAAAATATTATTTATATTCTTATATAAATTATGGTAAAGTTCTAAATGTCTGACTTACCAACTATACCATTTCTTTGTGTGATGTCGTTCATTTTCTTAGCAAATTTACGTTTAGATTCGATGACCTGAAACAGGTTTTTATGGTTTTTACAAATATTTATTCAGCAATTATTTAATTTTTACATGTTGTAAAAGTTATTTATACAATGGAATATATATATATATACTTTTTTATATATATATATATATATATATATATATATATATATATATATATATATATATATATATATATATATAAAAATCAATGTAAAATAGGCCCGGAGGTTGGTATTTTGACTACATAGAAAATCAAGCTTTCAAAATGAAAAATTTTGATATGTTATTTTTTAAATAAAAAAAGCTATTGATACGTGTTAGTGAATACAAATTTAAAAACTATTTATACAAGTAATTGGTACCAAAAAAGATAGAATCTTGACTTCGTACGAAAAGAATCAAAATTTTCAAATTTTCAATCAATATCTATCCCGTGAGTGAGGTAGAAGAATTACAAGGGTTTTATTTGCTTCCTTTCCTCTAGACATAAGTATACAGACTGGTGAAAAGTCAGATTGCCAGTCCGCGAATATAGCAAATCCTCCCCGATTTGCGCAAAAATAACATTTCATAAGATTTACAGAAGGTAAAATAATTTAAAAATACTCCAAAGTTATCTTAAGTGTTGTTTACTTCTTTTCCATCTAACCTTAATAATCTACAGCTGGGATGGACCTCTTCCATTGTAGACAGGATTCGCTTAATCACCACGTTTGCAGGCGAATAGACGAATAGGCGCAGGCCGAGCGGATGTGCGCGGTTCGCTATGCGGAGCTTGCGGAGGTGTTGACCATGTTGCCAGCGAGTGCAAGTTCACAACCTACATATTATTCAGCAAGTGTGGCGTGATGGGCCACCTACGACGCGTGTGTTTCACAAATAACCAGTCGGTGGCGCCGGGCGCCTACAACGGGAACGCGGCGAATGTACAGCGCTTTGGAAAGAAAAGCCGGAACAGCGGTCGCGGAGGACATAATCAGAGACCGAAAACAAATTATGTCAATGCAGACGATGGTGCGGCATTGAGTGAGTACCACGAGGCACCCGAGGAAGAACCGGTGATGCAAATGTCTAACTAACTAGATGTACAACTTCAAAGGTAACGAGTACTTTGAAAGTTGCTACTATATCGCCACTTGTCGCATCGCATGACTATGAGATCTTCATCGCATTTCCCACAGTCATCCCTTATGACACCTATGGCACAAAATAGGACAATAGATTCTCTTAAACCGTCACCATATGTTATATGTTTGGTATTTTACTATCTCACTCTAAATATACATATCTCACTCTTTGCTTGCCGAACTTGTGAAGCGTAGACGTGTACACCAATCGGTCCCTAAAACTGAAACAACGTTAAAACAATGAGTTATATTAATTTAAATACAATCATATCAACGTGACTTTCAATGAAAACAGCCGAATTCTGCATTTTTCTACAAATAACATACAGCATATTAAATCTACATTTTACTATAAACTATATTTGATTAGACTGTTTCATGTACTTATATATAAGCAGAGATTTAACTTTTTGTAAGTACCTTAATTATGTTTATTGTCATTAAGGAGTGTAAACCGTTAAACTGTTTTCTTGCTGAGAAAATGATATACAGTTAGGCAAAATTGGAAAAGGGACAAATGTACACTCTTTTTAGGTATTAATTTAAAAAAAACTTTATATTATTACGTCTATAATATATAAAACCAATTGCTGTTCGTTAGTATCGCTAAAACTCAAAAAATGTTCGACCGATTTTGATCAATATTTTTGTATCTGCTTAAATTGGTCCCTAGATGATTTAAAATTAAATTTGGACCCGGTGGGTGGCGTCGTCATCGAGATCCAGAATTTATTCGTGCGAAACCGGGGCGGATTATATATGATGCTAATAGTGATATATATATATATATATATATATATATATATATATATATATATATATATATATATATATATATATATTATCGTGGTAAAAATTCAAAACCAGATTAAAAATATCTGGATATAGGCAAAATATTAGATAGATTTATTTAATTTTCAATATTACCCGATCGACGATATCCCAAATGGTGTTTATATGCTTATAATAAGTTGTGTATGTAGGTGTTAGTTTGTAAATTGCTTCTATTTGCAGCAAGGGATTGCAAATACGCATAGTGGATAAGCAACATAACTCTTCCAATGCATTAATAAACGTTTTTTGATCTTTTTGCATGTCCACTCCTAATATAGTTTCTGCAAAATAAAGAACAAATTAATATCACACGTATTTAAGATATTGATTCATTACTTGTTATTTCCTTCATCAGTTCATAAGCTGTGCAGCTGAATATCGGCCTCTTTTTATATAAAAGAGACAAACGATCATAAGGCTCACCTTTTATAGAATATGGGTCAAAAATGAACACACAGTCCACAAGATGGTAAGTGGGTGCTGTTGCTCATAGACATACACATTTATCCTCATCTAAGAATCAATATTTAGAAGCGTTGTCACCACTGAGGACTGACATGGAATGCCTCGTTTCCAGCAAAAACGTCACCGGTTCTCTACATACACCATACGAAACACATTATATACCAATTACATAATTTCAATCGAAAGCCCTCTCTATGTCCAAACTAACCACGAAGGCTGGACTCGACCCCATGCGTCCATCGGTGTATTAGTTAAACAAGAAGATGTCCAGCTGAGCGAGCCCGACGAAAACCATACCGGCGGTCATTAATCAGCTGGTACCTAAAGAAACCGCATAAGGTGGCAGTTAAAAACGGATTTCTTAGTTTTCGAAAACAAGGTGATGATAATAGGCTGGATTAGAGCGATTACCATTTTAGGAATCGAGTGCACGAAAGCAGTTATCCATAAGTTCGATATTACGCTTAGGGAGTAAGAGTACCTGAAAATATGCGTCAGAATCGATGCCAACTCTGTAACATACGTCATTAGCTCAACTAGGGGGATTCCGTCAGACGAACTCGACTTGTGGAAGCCCAGGAAGGGGAGTGCTTTGCGTTCTGAGCCCTGTATCACCTGCATAACGGATGGGACAGTCACACCGCCGGATGGTTGTAGGTTGGTTTCCCGTGTCATTAGGAGTCAAATCGGGCACAAAAGGTCGGCTTTCTCTTTTGCGGCGTGGACTAACAAGTATTTCTGCTTGTTCAGAGATGGAAGTGAAGGCTTAAAGAAATTTCCTTGCCTTGCTTGTCAATCTTTTTGACTTTGCCTAAACAATAATTCATTTGAAGGCCTCTCTCGCTGAAGGGGGGACTTTCCTCAATGGTCACGCAGTACAAGACGTTTTGCGAATTTGACACTGCTGCCCGTTGTAATAATATAATGGAAACGAGATGAATACACGGCTATTAATCAGAAGCCTTTAGATTTTTCTAGCATATCCCATAGTCACCTATTATGACACTCGTGGCACGAAATGGGGCAATAGATTGTCTTATGCAACCACGAGGCATTGACGGTATAAATTAAGGCTTTAAAAGCGTTAACTGTGTTTAGTAATATACTACATATACAGCCAGTACTGTTTTAAATACATGCTAGTAATGTAATAGCAATGCTATTTACATTACTAGGAGTCCCTGTAACCATTCCTGGTAAGCTTAAGATGAATCATATTAGGAATGATTCACAATAGTAATCGAATGGTGGATTTGAACTCACGACCTTTAAAGTTCGCGGGTCCTACCCTCCCATTAGGCTAATATCGCTTCAAATTAAATATTTAAACTAAATTATTAGTCACCAATGATAATGCATACTAACTTTTTTTTTATATTTTCAACGTGGCGGTAGGTACGTTGTTTTTTTTTTCAAACATTAGTATACACTGCATCCAGACGGGTAGGCAGAGACTACAGACTTCCATTTAGCACGATCCTGACATACCTCTCTCACCTCCTTCATATCCATATACTTACGCATACATGCTCATCGGTTAAAGGTACTCTTAATTTGGCCCATTTTTTATATATCGCCAATTTGGTCGACAAACTTTCGCCTAGGACGTCCCTTTCCGACTGTTCCATTCACTTCTGCAACATATATTTGCCTTGTCAGTCTTTTCTCATTCATTCTTTTTACATGACCAAACCACCGAAGCATTCCTCTCTTAATCCTGGTCACATTTTCCCATCCTGTCACTCAGATTCAGCCCTAACATACTCCTTAGCAACTCCATTTCTACTGCATTTATTCTACTCTCGTACTTCTTCTGCCACACCCAACTTTCACTACCATACGTTAAAGTAGGGACTACAGCATTGTGAATTTCCATACGTGCCTTTTTTGACACATTCTGATTTTTCACAATAGAGTTCAGAGCCCCATCTACTTTTTTCCTGCATTCACGCATCGTTCAATATCCTTATCATATCTCACATCTCTGCTGAATACTCATCCCAAATCTACAAATTCATCTACTTGCTCGACTATCTCCCTTCTATTCTTATTAAGCTATTGCATAGCTTCTATCGCGGGCCTTGAGCGCGGGGACCGAATCCAGAAATACCGTAACGAAAAAACCTCACGCTCCCCACTCCGACGGGCACGGAGGTGTGGCTTGAAGGCCGTGCTTTATCTAACGTCGTGTCTTTTCGGCAGTCTTCGACACGGTGTTTGTGTGCGTGCAACTAGACGTATTGTACGACTCTACGAAGCTCGCACGAATCGAGACGAGCTGCTCCGAAATCGGACGAATACATAAGCAGTTGTTTATGAGAAAGTATATAGGTGTATAGGTATTTATGTACAACAGAGAATAGCTGTACTTGTAAAATTTTTTGTATAAAGTGTTTTGAATATGAATGAACAAAGTGCATTTATTATTTATTTATTTAATAAAAGAAAAAAATTGTTTTCTTATCGGTCACCACGCTCAAAAAGTGTAACTTGAATTAATATCAAAGAAAAAGAAATACTGCATAAATAAAATAAATAAATAATTATAATTGCATAAGTTGATACAA